CTCTCAGTCAAATAAATAAATAAAATCTTTATAAATAAATAAATAAAACTATGATAGAGTCTGTGCTAATAATTACAAAGTCAGTCAAAAAGATAGTGTGGAAAGAAATTAGATAATTCAGGGATTATCAGTGTTACAAGCTTAAACATGAGGCTTCAAGCAAAAACATCCTAGTACGCCCTCCTCACCCTCCTTATTTTTGGCTAATTCCAAAGCAAGCACATCTCTAAAAAAAGATGACTTATTTGGTGAACATCTCTGTAATTCGTTAACAACCTGAGTATCATTTATACCTTGCATGTTAAAACTGGTGCAAATAACATTTCCCAAGTTAATAGTTTAATATAATAAATATAGAGAACCATACATAGTATATAAAAGCAGAAAGTATTAAAAGTCTAATGTCCTCTGTACAGGACCTTTCTGTGGATTGCTTCTGAAGCCCAAGTAAATAAATTGTGTAAATGCTCACAGTTTATGTGTGATACGTTTAGAATTATAATCCCCTGACTTCCATTTCAGCACTTTTTTCCAAATATCCCAATTTGATCTTTGCATTAGTTTAACATCCTTCAAAAGCCATCCTTCGTGTATTTCAAATCAAGAACTCTGAATTTAAGTAGATAGGCAGTAACTAAAGGAAGCAGTAGGAGAGAGAAGGGGTCTTGAGATTCATATGGATTGACATCTATCTTTTTTTTGGCCATGACACATGTGAATTGCTTTCTTTAGTGAATCTCTCACCTTGTAGAAGTTTAAAATGCCAGGTAGTCACTTTCCAGCCTTCTTTGCAACAAGGCACTGATACCATGACCCACCCTTGAGTTTGAATTATTTGAGGGATTTGAAGAGGCCAGGACTGATCGACTCCATTCTGGTGAGGTGGGCAGTGTAGCAGTGAATTTAGAGTCCAGCTTGGCAAGGTTGGCAGTGTTCACTGCAGGGTCTGTGCCCAGTGGCTGTGGCAGTGGTCTTTATGCTTCTAGTTCAGTGGCATGAATTTGGTTTTTCAGCCCTCCTGGAGATTTTATCCAATATCCTTCAGTAAGTTCATTTCCTTAAATTAGCTAGATTTCGTTTCTGTTGTTTATATCTTTAAGAATCCTGACTGGTGAGAAGATCGATACCCTAAAGTAGTTGTCACCAAGAAACCGTTGGGGAAATGAAAGAAAGAAGGAAGGGAGAGAAGGAACAATGGGATTCCTTATAGAGCCTGGAGAGCGTTCCAGGCAGCACGTGTCCAGTTACTGTTCAGGGAGAAGGCACTGGCAGTCCATGGCAGATGGTGATTTGTCTTGTGAAAGCATTTCAAAAAGACATTCTTAGAGCAAGAAGGATACATGTTGATTTGGGGATAACGCAAAGGCTACACTGCATTGAACATTTTCATTCTTTTTCTCCACTTTTCCTGTATTTGTAGAATCTCTTAGCTTATGAGGCACAGCCCGTCTTCCACTCTAGAAGCTGAAGATGCCAAATAGTTGCTTTCCCAAATTTTCTTACCGACTATGACAGTTATATGACCTAAGTTCCACCAGTAAGCTGCACCCAACCCAGACTTGGAATCTGAAGCCAGGGATGTAAAGATAAAGAAACCGGCTGTGTGTGGACACCATGCTGGGGTGGGAGGTGGCACCTGCACCCAGTTGAGAGGCGCTGGTGGCCTTGATTGTACTGTAGTATCTAGCATCTGAAGGCAGTGAGTCTTCCTGTGCCTTGTGGCCCAATTTGGGCATTGTTTCTGGCTCTGTGACCTACAAACCTGGTCCACTGGCCTTCTTGGAGCTTGTGTGAGCTACCCAATATATTTAATAAATTCCTTGTCTGCTTAAATTATTCCAAGTTGGTTTCTGTTTCTTGAAACTAAGAACTCTGACTGCTGTAATAGTCCGTCAGTCCACAAAATTCCATCCGGGGGTGTCTCACATTGCTATCCTCACCACCAAAACAAAATCCGTCAATGCAATACTTCACCAAACAAATTTTTTTTTTAAAGATTATTTATTTATTTATTTATTTGGGACAGAGAGAATGAGAGAGAGAGAGAGAGAGAGCACATGAGAAGGGGGAGGGTCAGAGGGAGAAGCAGACTCTCTGCCGAGCAGGGAGCCCGATGCGGGACTCGATCCCCGGACTCCTGGATCATGACCTGAGCCGAAGGCAGTCGCTTAACCAACTGAGCCACCCAGGTGCCCGTCACCAAACAAATTTGAAGTCCATTTTAACGGGCACCTTCTGCAATCAGTAGCTCCCTAATAGAGGATATCTGTATGTAAATTCATTTTTATCTGCTTCTTCTAACTTTCTGATCTTAGGCCCAAATGGAAACATTTATTGTTAATAGAAGTTAAGGAGTCTGGAACTGTCATTGAAGTATCCAAAATTTTTTAAAAATAGGGAGAGAAAACTTTTCATTGGTGGAATGAGTAAAGCTCAGATATTTGGATTAGCTAGATATATAATTCTTTCATGAGTTAGATATATTTTTAAACGGCTGGAAAAACATCAAAAGAATAATAATATTTCATAACATGTGAAAATTATATGAAATTCAGATTTCAGTGTCCATAAAGGTTTATTGGGACACAGTTATGCTCATTTGTTTTCCTGTGTCTGTGTTCATTCTTCGGTGACAGAATTGACTATTTGCACCAGAGATCACATGGACGTAAAAAGTAAAATACCTTTAGCCTTTTACAGAACATGGTTTGCTGACCCCTGGCCTATACTTTTCAGAATAATGCCTGAGGCCCAGGGTGTCTCCTGATCTGGAATTCAGCCCCTTAAAGAGGATCCAGTCACCTGAATTGAACTGGAAGGCTCACTCAGTCCCAAACAGAGCGGTGGTTCTCATTCCTGGCTGCACATCAGTATTACCAGAGGCGCTTTTAAAAAGTTCCCACGTCTGGTCCGACCCAGATCATTTAAATGAGAATTGCTGGAATCGGGGTCTAGGGAAATGAATTTTTGAAAAGCTCACTAGATGTTTCTGAGGTGCAGCCAAAGTTGAGAGCCATGTGCTGGAAAATGGAGTGACTCCAAGAAAGGTGTTTGTGGGTGTGCCTTAAACTGCAGTGCTTTTCAAACTTTATATATAAGTCAACTGAGGATCTTGTTAAAAGACAGGTTCCATTTCAGTAGAGCTGGGGTGAAACCTGTGATGGGGTCCATGGCAGGCCCCCCCAAATATGCCACTCTGCAATATTGATTATTTGGGTTATTTTGAATCAAAGTTACTTAAGAAGCAGCAGTGCAAGAAGGACACTCTGAGTCTCCTTTGTCCCCCTGCAAGCAGGAAATAAATCTCCCCTGTGAAAGGTACCCTCCCAAATCAGGAGGTGAAGAGACATCCTTATCACCAGAGATAGGGAATTCAGCACTGAGAGGCTGTATAAACACTCGTTTCTTCTTCACCAGTTTACTGGCCCAAGCCCAGACTTGTCTTGTCAATTCCTCACAAATTTCTTGTTTCTTTGTCTGAAAGGTATACAAGTTTTGCTTTGGTCACTTCCTTTGAGTCTCATATTTTTATAAGCTCTCCTATGAAATTAAATTTGTCTTTCTCCTGTTACTCTGTCTTATGTCAATTTAATTATTAACCAGCCAAAGAACCTATAAAGGAAGAAGGAAAAGTTTTCCTCCCTTATACCTAAGATCCCATATTTCAAAAACCTTGCAGATATTGCAGATGCTGCTGGTCCGTGACTAGCAGGGTGAGGGCAAGGAGTTCATTGAACCTGTAGAACATATTCCATGACTTGTATTTTTGCCTGCTTTTTTTTTTTAACATCAAGAGTTAATGAATCCGGGGCACCTCGGTGGCTCAGTTGGTTAAGCGACTGCCTTCGGCTCAGGTCATGATCCTGGAGTCCCGGGATCGAGCCCCGCATCGGGCTCCCTGCTCAGCAGGGAGTCTGCTTCTCCCTCTGACCCTCTTCCCTCTCGTGCTCTCTCTCTCTCTATCTCATTCTCTCTCAAATAAATAAATAAAATCTTTAAAAAAAAAAAAAAGAGTTAATGAATCCTATCCATACTGGGCACTTGTGAAGTCCTAGCTGGGGTAGGATTTTAGGCCAGTTGAATAATCCATATCCCTTCTAATACAAAAATACTCTGGTTTGTGAATCTGAACTTTCTGTGGAAGCAAAGGGCAACTAAATACAAGGTGAATATTTCACTGATGTAAAGACAAATGCCAAGAAGCCAGGCAGTGCTTGGCTTACCAAATGGAATAGGCTATGACCTCAGGCTACAATATGGAACACACACCAGGTTAAAATCGAAAAATAGTCTGCTATCCAGGAAACAATGACACAGAGGTGATGGTAGCCAAATGGGGTTTGGCCACGAGATGATTCTGGCAATGCCCACCTTGGAGATGGGCAATGAAATAGAACAGAAGTCTCTATAGGCACCTTATATTACCTTCTCAAGTATGTACTTCAAATTATCAAAATCGCAGCTTTAACAGAGTAAGTTAATGCAATTACACAATAGAAGCAAGTGTTAGCTTTGAGAAAATTTAGTCTTCAACTTGACTAGTGGGATTGGTCAACACATTCTACTAATTTCAAAAACAAGCTATTTAAACATTCTAGGTTAGGGGCACCTGGCTGGTTCAGTTGGAAGAGCATGCAACTCTTGGTCTTGTGGTTGTGGGTTCGAGCCCCATGTTGGGTGTAGAGATTACTTAAATAAATAAATAAACTTAAAAAAAAAATAAAACACTTTAGCTTACAAAAGAGAAGATCACTGTAAAGTGAACTTTTTGGTCACTCATCTTTGAAACTATCGTTAATCACTCAAAACCTCTTCAGAACATCCAAGTCTAAATAATGGTTTGGAATGAATAAAGGTATGTTTTATGTGACAATAAAATGTTTTCTTGGCGATCCAGTGAATAATTTTTTTGCTTCTTTTATAATTAATATTTGTAAATAAGACAGACATTGAAGAAGGATCAAAGAGATTGTATTTCTTTGTGTCTCTGGAGTTGCACTTTATCCAAATATGGCATTATCTGAAAAATAAAAAGAAGTAGTTGTTAGATAACGTATAATACATTTCATAGTTCCAGAATAACCCTGAAGGCAGAGAGGATGATACTGCTTCACAGATACAAAAAGGAAGGCTTAGAAACATTAAATGACTTAGCACATGACATTAGTCAATAGCAGAAGCAGAACTTGAACCCAAGTGCAATGGACTGAATGTTTATGCCCCCCTACCGCCCCAAATTCTTATGTTGAAACCCTAATGACAGTGTGATGGTGTCAAGAGCTGGGGCTTTTGGGAGGTAATTAAGTCATGAGGGTGGAGTCCTCATAAATGGGATTAGTGCCCTTAGAAGAAGCCAGAGAGCTAGCTAGCTCTTTCTGCCATGTGATGACACAGCAAGAAAACAGCCCTCTCTAAGCCAGGAAGAGGGCATTCGTCAAGAACCCGATGATTTTGGCACCCCGATCTCAGAATTCCAGCCTCCAGAACTATGAGAAATAAATGTTGTTTAAGCTACCCCATCTGTTGTAATCTAACAGCCTGAACTAAGATACCTGCATCTTCTGTTTTTAAGGCTAGTATGCCCCTCTTTGGGCCTCCACATCTCCAAGTGGAAGACTGAGAAGAGACCTTGGAGATCTCCAGCTAAGAAAACTTGTTCCCTGGTCTTCATATCCCTATTGATAGAAGCAAAAAGGAGTCCCCAGAACCCCAAGCGCTCTTAGCAAAGTCCCAACCGTTCTCAGCTTTAACACTCATGGCCTCACCACTACTTGAGACCATTAAGACTAACCTCATTCTGTTCTTTTTTTTTTTAAAGATTTTATTTATTTATTTCACAGATAGAGACACAATGAGAGGGGACACAAGCAGGGGGAGTGGGAGAGGGAGGAGCAGGCTTCCCACTGAACAGGGAGCCCGATGCAGGGCTCGATCCCAGGACCCTGGGACCATGACCTGAGCTGAAGGCAGACGCTTAACAACTGAGCCACCCAGGCGCCCCCTCATTCTGTTCTTTATCCCTGTTTACTTGGGCTACCTCAAGAAGCCAGGAGTTCTGAGAGAGAGACAAACCAAGAAACAGACTCAACTATAGAGTCATATGATATGGCTACCAGTGGTGGGGGGATGTTTCAAATAGGTGATGGGGATTAAACAGTATACTTATCATGATAAAAAAATAATAAAATAAAAATAATGGGGGGGCACCTGGGTGGCTTAGATTGTTAAGCATCTGCCTTCGGCTCAGGTCATAATTCCAGGGTCCTGGGATCAAGTCCCACGTTGGGCTCCTGGCTCAGCGGGGAGCCTGCTTCTCCCTCTCCCTCTGCCTCTCCCCCTGCTCATGCTCTCTCTCTCTGTATCTCTGTGTCTCAAATGAATAAATAAAATCTTTAAAAAAAATGAAATAAAAAGATTTAATACAAAAAATAAAAAATAAAATAAAAATAATGGGGAAAAAGGAAGCCAGGAGTTCTGGGTTGCCCCACATCTCCTGATGCTAACCACATGACTCTATGAGCAGCAGTGCAACCCCTACCTGGCACTTCCTGTTCACTCCCATCCTGCTGCTTTATGTTTCTCCATATCACTTACCCACTTAAAAAATCTCTGCCTCTATCCACTCAAGAACCCACTGAAATCTAAGTTTTATGAGGCAGGGGTTTTATCTATCACTGTACTGCCAAGCACAGAACAGTGCCATAAAAATTTGCTGAATGAATGTGCTTCTTCCTCTAACATAGGTATGGGCAAAGGAAAAGAGCATTTTCTAATTCTTACTGTATATATCCAGCAATATGTACCTTCTTATTATCCTCTTCTGTTTCTAAAGATTATTCTGCAACAACAAATGTGCCATGGGAAACTCTAGGTTTGTGAGCCATCGCCCAAGGGCACAGCTACTGGTCTCGAGAGGAATGAGGTAAGATTTACCATTATTTCTGGAAAAATACATTCTATGTCCCAATATTTATTCAGTCATCAAATGAATATTTTCTGAGCACCTAATTAATGCCAGACACCATTCTAGGAATGGAATGGATAAAGCAATGAAAAAACAGATAGCATCAAGGAGCATTAAGGAGTGACAAACACTGTAGAGGAAAAGAACGCCAGGTATGGTGTTACAGGATAGGTGTCTCCAACTCAGGAGAAAGGTCAGGGCCGGAAATAGAAATGTGCAGGATAGAGATGAGATTTTCAAGTCCTGTAACAGTTGAAGACCAGCAATCTGTCTCATTGAGATCACCTAAAAACTAAGTGTAGATGATGAGAAGTGGGCCATCTTACAGAAAAAGGATGTGATTTTACAGTTAATGATGTTTATCATTCAATTCAATACATATTTGTTGATGGTGTACTAGAGTAATATGTTCATCAAATTTTATAAGTAATGTCCCATCTCCTTATTTTTACAAATGAGGATTTTTTTTTCTGGCCTCCTGGCGGAGGAGGTATTCTCTCATATCTGTTCTCAGTCTAGTGTGGTGGGGCTGAACTTTTGGGTTGGAATGTGGTAAGTTCTCTTTTGGGCTGAGTTTAACTTTCACTGCTTCTAAGCCAATTTCTCCAGTATAGATAGTTTTCCAGTGACAAAGTGACAAAGCCAATTTTTACCTCCATCCATCTCTCAATTGATATAAACTGAGGAATAGAAGGATATTATTGTTGACCTTTTCAAGCCCCTACAGTTTTCAGAATAAAGTAGACACTCAAAAAAATGTCAGCACCCTTCTCTATACCCACATACTTTCTACTTGTGGAAATAAAACAAACAAACAAAAACCCAGTATCTCTTATTTATCTAAAGTTGAAACCAGAGACTTTAAGTTTCAAGTAGAGATTAATGGGGAAAAAATTCTAATGAGCTTTTGAGAATACACAGTACTGGGTCAATAATTACCTACCATTTGTTCAAACAAGTGGTTCTCAAGCTTTTTGATCTCAAGATCCATTATATTCTTAAAAATTATTAAAAACCCTATCAAAGTTTTGTTCATGTGTGTTGTACCTCTCAATATTTACCACATTAGAAATTTAAATGTAGAAAAAATTTAAAGCTCAAGAATACAAGTCAACATTCCATTTAATGGTCAGAAAAATGTGATTGCATATCATACTGCTTCTGGAAAACTCTACTGTACTCCCATGAGAGTATAAAAGGTAAGTAATATCTCAGCATTATTATGAAAATAGCTTTGACCCTGTGGGTCCCTGAAAAGACTTGAATATACAGGGGTTCCCCAGACCACCCTTTCAGAACTACTAATTTAGACTAAAAAAGAAAAAGCATGTATTTACATGCTAATTACCATAACCTTTAAATTAGGTCTATGCTGGGCGCCTGGGTGGCTCAGTTGGTTAAGCGACTACCTTCAGCTCAGGTCATGATCCTGGAGTCCTGGGATCGAGTCCCATGTCGGGCTCTCTGCTCAGCAGGGAGTCTGCTTCTCCCTCTGACCCTCCTCCCTCTCATGCTCTCTCTCATTCTCTCTCTCAAATAAATAAATAAAAATCTTTAAAAAAATTAGGTCTATGCTTATTCTGTATCTTGTCATCATAACATTGAATATCTGTTTGAGTCTGCTTACTTAAAAGAAACAAACAGCTTTTCTGCAATATTTAAAGGTTTGTTTCAACGTTCCAGAATTGTTGGTTTATAACCTCGAATATCATTAATGTTGGCTATGGAAATTATGTTTGTTAGACTCCGTTTTGTAGAAAACCATGTGTATTCATGTAAAGTGGTAAACTATGTTTGTCATAGAAGGTGGATAGTACCACCTACCGTTAAACTTGTGAGAATTAACCTGCTAGTTGTGGCTTACCTCATCTAGTTACAAGTAATTCAAGCAGAATAAAAGATTGTGCAGATCCACTTGGAATTAGAACACTAGATGCATTCCTCCTTGTAAAGAGTTATTTTTTTGGTAAAATAAACACATGGCTGTTACAGATTAACTTTGAAGCACGATGGAGAATCTCAGTTTCCCATGCCACACTGTATCACCTCTCTATCCCACTTACTAAGAGCTTGGGGCAAATGAAAAGTCACAACCCCTTCATCAAGTTAATCTTGTTGAAGTTAAATCTCTAAAATAGTGATTCTTTTGTTTCTGATCTAACTTAATCATGTGTTGTTTGTACTTAATACAACTGCACTCATTTTTCTTTTTACATAAATGACAAAATGCCATCAGTTGCTTATCTTGACTTAGGAACAAGTATTCACAATCAATAGTAGTTACCCTTTCTCTTCCTCCTCCTGCAAAATAATATCACCACCACCACAAACCCCCATGCCAACCTCCTTCCACATTTTATTATTATGACTCAGGGCTTCTTGTTTGATATTTGTCATCAAAATCATTTCTATTGTATCTCAATTTTGCATGTGAAATTTTTGCAGAGGCAACAGAAATTGGTGAGAGGTCTCTGGAGTTTTTGTGGTCTATTATAATTATCTACAACAGCTTTTCTCTAAATATGGTTCTCAGGTCATCAGCATCGGCATCTCCTTAGCCTGCCCGAAAATGCAGATTCTGGGACCCAAAGGAGAGCCTACTGAATGAGTCAATCTGGAGGTCCAGTTTGAAACTGAGAATCTCTGATCTATAGTAGATCTTATATCAACGAACCTTGTTTACTGATGCTTTTTACTTCAGACAGATTTCCTTTAAACTATCCCAGAGCGATACTTGCTGAAACTCTCTCAACCCCAGAAACTCTCCCCAAGTTTACTTATAAATCCCTCCTGTCAATTCGGTGGGAATCCTATCACAACAACTTACTTTTTGCAGGAAAGTGCTTTTTCTCCGTGTGAGCAAGGAGACTCAGTGTGACCCAGGAGCTCCTGCCACTATCAGGAACGTATTCTTTGATTTGGGTGTGAGTTGAGGGCATATAGGCACCACTGAAATGCCTCTTTTGAACTCTCAGTAAACTGACTTGATTGCTTCTTTCCACAAGGCAGTTGGATTCACGCTTTTCATTTATCTCCTTCAGGAGACATTGTTTGCTTTCTTTGAGCTTTGTAATTATTTCACTGGTTCTGTTCATAGAAGTCATTATGCTGACAAACCAGTCATCAAGTGATTCTTACTGTCTGCAATCAAATGACAAAATACTATCAGCGGTTGCTTGACCTAGCGGCGAGTCTTCAGTCAGTTCCTCTTTCTCCTCCTGTAAAATACCACTACCGCTGTGCCCCTCACCCCATATCTCACTCCATTTTTATTATTGTTTCCGAAGTTTTTTTTGGTTTTTGATGTTTCTTCCGGAAAAAAAAATCATAAAAAGAGGATTTTACATTGAACACTACATCAAAAACTAATGATGTACTACTATATGTTGGCTAATTGAGTTTAAGTAAATAAAAGAAGAAAAAAGAGGATTTTAGTAAGAGAATATATTTTGTTTTTGAAACTAAGGCTATGGGGCGCCTGGGTGGCTCAGTCGTTAAGCGTCTACCTTCGGCTCAGGTCATGATTCCAGGTTTGTGGGATCGAGTCCCACATCGGGCTCCCTCCTTGGTGGGAGGCCTGCTTCTCCCTCTCCCACTTCCCCTGCTTGTGCTCCCTCTCTCGCTGTGTCTCTCTCTGTCAAATAAATAAATAAAATCTTAAAAAAAAAAACAAAAACTAAGGCTATGTATTGATTCTTGCTTTAAGGGACTCTCATTGTTTCTTTTCATTATAAAATAATACATATTCATTGTAGAAAATTAAGAAAATGCATAAAAGCATAAGGTAGACAAGCTAAAATCACTTTTTTTTTTAAGATTTTATTTATGTATTTGACAGAGACACAGCGAGAGAGGGAACACAAGCAGGGGAAGTGGGAGAGGGAGAGGCAGACTCCCCGCGGAGCAGGGAGCCCCATGCGGGGCTCCATCCCAGGACCCTGGGATCATGACCTGAGCTGAAGGCAGACGCTTAACAACTGAGCCACCCAGGTGCCCCGCTAAAATCCCTCTTGATCCAGAGACAACCAAATTAGCAACTTGGATGTTTCTTTCCCAATAAATATCCAAAGGGATTTTATTATAAAAAGTACAGAAAAAGACATTAAAATGGCTATGGCAGAACATAAACTTAAAAACGTAAAATGTTAAGTATTTAGGAAGATTTTGCTTGTTAGGATTATCAATTTGTCTTTTAAGACATATGAAGTACTTAAAAATCAAATATGTTCAATTTACAAAAGAAGTTTAAAATATTTAAATATTTAAAGCATTAACTAAGTTTGTAAATGGACTAATTACTTAGAGATGTTTAGTCTTTTCAACTTGGTTAACTGAACATTAATTTCAGAGAAAATGAGGATATTCTATCTATAAAAACTCAATTTATAGATAGAATATAAGAATTATATGTTGAAATCAAAGGCTGACAGAAAGGTTTTTAATGTTTTAATTTTATAAAATCAATATTAATTTGAAATCCAAGTAACTATATAGTCCTTTCTACACACAAAGGCTACTCTCAGACATTAAAAAAACAATCTCACGTAAACATTTTATATCGATGAACAGAACTTTCTTTTAAGTGACTATGGTGGACTAGATTATTCAGACATAACTCCCAGTGAAAACTACTAAAAATTCTGGGGAAAATTTTTTTTTAATTTGTTAATAATGAAATGATAAGAGAGTTAGAAAATACCAGGTCCAAAATGAAGGAAAGCAAGAACAAGGACATAGAGAGGTAGACAGACCTGTGCTTGCCTGAGGACATTTTCTAATCCTGGAGGTTAAAGAAGTCATTTTGCTAGCTTAGAGGGCAAGGGACAGAAAAATCAAAGCTCAAAGCCTATGCACAGTGGAGAGCCTAAAGTAGACCTTTTCCATATTAAGTTGGCATCCAAAGGGCTACCCACTCAGGGTGAGAGTGAATAAGAAATAAACTCACATTCCATCACGAACTTGCAGGAAGAATGTTGCTTTAGCACTAGGCACAGCTCTGGGGGAAAATCCCTCCATGAAAAGTTGTAAGTGCTTCCTGACTCTCACATGGATTTTCAAACCAAATTCACAGCTAGGGCGGTTACAAGAAATGTCAAGCTGAAAAGCAAGAATGGTGCAAGAAACATCAAGCTGCAAAGCAAGGGTGGTAGGAAGAATTTAGCTAAAGGGGTTTCAGGCTGGGAGTACATCCAAGTGACTGACAGAAGCAAACTCAAATCTTTTCTGGAAGAACTTCATCCTAGGCCTCTGGGAATCCCCAGTACTTTTTCAAAGACAACAAAGAGCGCACAGCCAAGGATAATCAATCAAGCGCAAAGGTAGATGAGGCATCATAAAGTGAGAACAACAGTAACAAAACCATGAAATCTACATACGGGAGAAACATCAGATGAATTATAGAACAATTACACAGACTACATCTAAAGAAACGAGAAAATAAGTTTGCAACTATCTTCAGGAAACAAGAAGCCAAAAAGAATTTCTAGAAATGAGAAAATGTTATTAAATAACATTTCATATAGGTTTAGTAGCAGATACGGATTCAGATGAAGAGATAATTAGAGGACTGGGAGATAAATCAGAAGTCATTATCCTGAATGCAGCATAGAAGGACAAATAGTATGAAAAAGCTAAATATGGGGAGGACACAGTGAGAAGGTCAAACCTACAGGAAATGGGAAATCCAGAGGACAAAAATGAGGCAGAGACAAGATTTAAAAAGATGTTTGAGAAATATCCAGAACTGACAAATGATACCACTCCAGAGACTCGGGAGCTTAAAGAATAGCAGTCAAGATTTTATTTTATTTTATTTTTTTAAAGATTTTATTTATTTGAGAGAGAGAGAGGTAGCGAGAGCAGGAACACAAGCAGGGGAATGGGAGAGGGAGAAGCAGGCTTCCCGCTGAGCAGGGAACCCGATGCTGGGCTCAGTCCCAGCACCCTGGGATCATGACCTGAGCCGAAGGCAGACGCTTAACAACTGAGCCACCCACGCGCCCCAAGATTTTTTTTTAATCCTCACTTAAATTATAGTGGAATTTGGAAAAAAAGGAAATCTTATAAGCAATGAGAGAATAAAAGGAAGGGCAGTTAAACTAACAGCTGACTTCTCAAAAAGGAACAATAGAAGCCATAAAACAGAGAAACTATATTTTCAATGCGGTAAGGAAGTTATACAGATGGTAAAGTCAGCACACAGAGAGATGCTCAGCATCATCAATCATTAGGGAAATGTAAATCAGTACTACAGTGAGATACTGCCTATCAGTAGAATGGCTGAAATTAAAAAGATTGACCAAATCAAGTGCTGGTGAAGATGGGGAGGAACTGGAACTCTCAGACACTGCTAGTGAGGTTGTCAAATGGTACAACTGTTTTGGAAAACAGTGCGGTAGTTAAAAAGTTAAACATATATCTGCCATATGTTCTAGTCCGGAGTATTTACCCAACAAAAGTGAAAGTCTCTATACAAGTGTATGAAGAAACTATTTGTACACAAGAAAATTTATATATGAATGTTCATCACAGCTTTATTTTTCTGAGCCAATAAGTTTTACCAACCCAAATATCCATCAACAGCTGAACGGATAAACAAATTATGGTATTATCCACACAGTGGACACTACTCAGTTATAAAAAAGGAATATATTATTGCTACACACGGTAACATGGATGAATCTCAATGTAATTATGCTGAGTGAAAAAAAATCCAGACAAGAAAGAATATATACTATATGATTCCCTTCATATAAAATGCTAGGAAATGTGAACTACTCTACTGGAACAGCAAATCAGTGTTTGCCTGGGAATGGGAAGGGGTTGAGGACAAGGGCAGCAGACGGGGGTTATAAAGGGACATGAGTAAACTTTTGGGGGTGGTGACTATGTTCATTATTTTGATTGTGGTGATGGTTTCATGGGTGTATGTATATGTCAAAGTTTACCAGATTGTACTTTAAACACGTACAGTCTGTTAATTACATCTCAATAAAACTGTTAAATAAAATTGGAATCAGCACCTAGCACATTGCCCAATGCATATCAGGTGGTTAATAAATATTTGTTGAATGAATGAAAAGTATATTACTTATAAATCTTGACTCCTATTCACTCACTATTATATCATGAGACTTTTTCATGCCATTACATGTATGTCATTCACAATAAAAATGAAATATTTGATGACAGTGTGGTAGTCTTTCATATAGACTTAAAATAATACATTTGATTAGTCCATTTATTGTTAGACTTGTAGGTTGTTTACACTTTGAACAATACACTTTGAAACACAGTGAAGTGACAAAAATCATACAAACACTGTTTTAGGAAACCCGCCAGAGTCATCGTTTGTCATTCCTGGATACACAAAAGGAGAAGAGGTATGTTTCAAAGTTCTCTGGCTAACACATAAATCTTACATGTGTTTGTACTTGCAGAAAATAGTTGTCCCTAAACAAAAGGAAATGGTTTAAGGGAGAATGGAATTTGAACTTTTTTCCCCCTCCCCCTGTCCAAAGCCCAAGGAAGACTAAAATTTTCTGAAAGATGGTAAAGAATTGTCTCAGGCAGTTATTTCCACAATGATGCTGCAAAACTCAACAGCATACAACAATAAACATTTATTCTTATGCTCAGTGGTGGTTTAAGCTGGGCTGGGCTCACCTGAGAACTTGGCTTCTGGCTTGAAAGTCTGGCTGGGCTTGGCTCCCCGGTGAAGGTTGAGCTTAGGTCTGCTCCCAAAATTTTAGGACTGGGAAAAACAAAAAAAGCTATTTTCCTCTAATCCAGCATGTCAGATGGGATCTAAATCTCTTATCCTTATTTTGTTTCTAGGAATTTTAATAGCATAAGGGAATTTTTTTTTTTAAGGTAAAGGATATGAGAAGAAAATTTTTTCTTGAACTGCAGTTTCATTTTCCCACCTCTGGCAGGCACATCATTTCCATTTTCCATTTCTGTTTCCTGTCTCCCTGAAAAATCCTCAAGCTTAGGCAGCATATCTTTCACAATAAAATTGGAGTTCAATCCCATATAATGTAGGAGTCCAATAAAAAGCAATTGACAAATTGACTTTCTTAAATGCATACATCCAGTAATATTTGCTCACAAATATAAAAGATAATATACAAC